ATTTATTTTTGAGAGAAAGAGCATGAGCTGGGGAGAGGCACAGAGAGAGGGAGACACAGAATCCGAAGCAGGCTCCAGGCTCTGAGCTTTCAGCACAGAGCCCGATGTAGGGCTCGAACTCACAGACTACGAGATCATGACCTGAGCTGAAGTCAGATGCTTAACTGACTGAGCCACCCAGATGTCCCTAGATAAACTAAAAAAAAACTTTTTTAGCCATCTTTTCACTTTCCTATCTCTAAAAATAGCTCAACACAATATACACCAGTGTACGTCTCATATACAATTTTAGGAATGTATTATATCTTTTGTTTTTCCAAATCTTCATGTATTTCTACTTACAAAGATTGTACATTCTCATTGTAGAAGATTGAAGTATTACAGAAAGTGAAAATGCACACTGTCTACTGTTTTTAACAATATGGTAGACGTTCTCCCAGGAATTTAAAAAATCTATCACATACGTTAACAATCATAAATAAAACTTAAAAGACATTTGGGTGTCAGGCCTTATGATGTGCTCTGGAGACAGATGAAAGAGATCCCTAGAAAGGTTTACGGTTCAACCAGGGAAAGATTTAAACCAGTGTTTCTCAAGCTTTAACGTGTATAGAAATCACTGGGCTCTTGTTAAAATTTAGACCCTAATTTTGTAGGTCTGGGAGGGGGGCAGCGCCCTAGATTCTATGGGAGTGGGGGTGTTCGTTCTGAAACTAGCTGTTAAGACTGCAGCCTCCATCTTGGTCCATCACTCCCTCTTGGATCCCTCACGCTGGGAGAAGTCAGCTGCAGTGTTCCAAGTCGGCCCTGTGGAGAGCTTGTGTGAGAGACCGATGCCTGCCAGCAATCGCGTGAATGAGCTTGGAAGCAGAACCCCTGCGCCCCTGTGACTTAAGCCTTCTAGTGAGACCACAGCCCCAGCTAACAGCTCGACTACAACTTCATGAGGACCTAAGACAAAGGCAACCAGCTGAGCTGTGGCCGGATTCCTGACCCATGGAAACATAATAAACGTTCGTTTGAAACCATTAAGTTTTGGGGTAATTTGTCGCATAGCAATAGATAACTAATATAACGAGCAAATGGGTTTTTTTGTTTTCTCCCAAATTTTGTACAAACTGTAGCATACTGTGTACTCAGCTTTGCACCTCTCCCCCCTCCCCCAATTACTGTATCTCGAAGATCATTCTATGTGAATACATAAAGAGCTTCCTTAATTTTTTCTAGAATAGTTGCATATTTTTCTGTTGTTTGGGTATACCATAGTTTATTTAAGTAGCCCCTTACCGACGGACATTTAGGTTGTTTTCAAAGTCTTAGTGTCTTATGGGTTTCCACCACCTTCCTGTACTCCCACCCCCATTCATTATGTCTGTTTTCCCTGGAATTTTTCAACTAGCTAATCCCACTGCACCGGCTCACCCCCAATAAAGAAAGAAGTCTGTTGGTATTTTTACTGGACCCTATTTAACTTCTAAACTAAGCAGACTCATAGCAGGAATGCTTCCAGTGATCCCTCCTTAAGCATGCCATAGCATAGGGGTTGAGATATTAGATGGGAGCTCTTTTCTGTTTCCTTTAGTTGGGGAAATAGACTCTTGGGGGTCAGAACCCCTTCCCTGTCAATGAGACAATCTGTTGGGATGAAATGAAGAATTTAGGATTCTTTCTTTCCTGTCTCTACCGCATCCATGTTTAGAATTTGACCTCAAAATTCTCATGGTGGAGAAGGGGTTTTTCAAAGCCGGTGGGATCATCCTAGGCTCTGAAGAGGACTTCTGCCCTGCCCAAAGAGTGTCCAGATTGCATGGTGACTTCATTGTCTGACTTTAATGTGGATGATAGGAGCCAGGTACCATCCCCAGCTGTCTGAGTGCTGAGTTGTCGGTCCCTTCTCTCTCTACACATTCGCCTGGGAGGGCGTGCATCTAGAGGAACAAGCTCAGGGAGGAGAGGAAGATAATACACTTGGGAAAGTGTGCTGAATCGTGAGTGACCCAGACCTGGGTTCAAGTCTCAGCTCAGCCTCTCACCAGCTAGTCTTAGGGACATCCTCTCTCCTCTACAGTTTGTTCGTTTGTGTAATGGAGATGATGGTATAGGTCCTTACAGGACCTAAGTGAGAGGAGACATGTAAGGGGTTTGGGTAAATTTGTAAACATGTAAGGGGTGGAAATTTACTACAGACTCTGAGTCACCTAAACGGGTAGCTCTGTGATCCTCTTTTTTTTTTTTTTTCAACGTTCTTTTTTCTATTTATTTTTGGGACAGAGAGAGACAGAGCATGAACGGGGGAGGGGCAGAGAGAGAGGGAGACACAGAATCGGAAACAGGCTCCAGGCTCCGAGCCATCAGCCCAGAGCCTGACGCGGGGCTCAAACTCACGGACACGCGAGATCGTGACCTGGCTGAAGTTGGACGCTTAACCGACTGCGCCACCCAGGCGCCCCTCTGTGATCCTCTTTAACACAAGCCATGAAACAAGTAGGCTCTGAGACCTGGTGCGTTTCCTAAGCGCCCATGGCTTATCAGTGACATCGCCACATTTTGAATCAGGGTTTTCTGGGCTCTGATGAGAGGAGTCTTTTCCCTTCACCACCATTTCCCCTCTGCTGCAGAGGGCAAATGCACCCCAGCCACCCACTCAGCTGTGACAAGAGTTGGGGGTCCTGCATGGGACAGGATTCCACGCAGAGGTGAGTGCAGTGCTGACCCCATCAGGTGCGGCAGTGGCACATGAAAGCAGGCAGGGTTCTCTCTGGGTGGCCGTGACCTTGCCAGTTAGCCCCCCTTCTGGACCCATAGCCAGGAGGCAGGAGTGAGTCCCTAGACTGTCTGCCAGAGTCCTGCACCTTTGCCCTTAATGCCAGGGCTGGGAGGAGATAGCCAGTCCTTAAGGAATGATGGGTTTATCTTCCAGGCACTCTCTCTCCCCATCATTCCTGAAACGCCGCTTGGTTTCTATAGAGTGCAAAAGAAAGCCTTTTTTTTTTTTTTTTTTTTTTTCTGAGACTGGTACCTGGTACAGCATATTAGGGCCCCAGCCCCAGAGATTCTGACCTGGCCTGTGTGAGGAGGGGCT